CCCCCCCCCCCCCCCCCAATCCAGGTTTGTGGAAAATGGCACAGGCATTGGGCCCATGAGGTGGTGGCCACTTCTGCTGCTGGTGTCCCTTCCCCTACCCCCCAACAATGCAGGCAGGCAGGTGGGGACAGGCAGTGCCAGAGGTGGTGCCAGGGGAGGCTTGCTGCACAGTTGCACAGTGCAGCCTGCTTGCTGCTACCCTAGCCCCAGCTCCAGACCTGGTCAGCAGTGTGGCACAAGCCACTTGGGCCCCTGCCAGCAGCCTTCGTGGAAATTGGGGGGGGGGGCACATGCCCCATTGTTTCCTCCCCTATGAGTCACCCATGATTAGGAACCAACCAAATTAACAGTGGGAGTGGACTGCGCAGTGGCTGTTTTAATTTTGAAGGGTCCCCTGTGTGCCCCGCTGCTTGCTCCTGATCAGTGGGGAGGCAAAAACTGCAGTTTTAAATATAGAGCCATTTTTGCTGCTCATTGCTGATTGGCCAAGGGGCCATGGCAGCTCCACAGTGTGTTACTGATTGGCCAAGAGGCAAAAACGGCACTGTATTTAAAACCCTGGTTTTTGCCTCCTTGCTGATCAGGAGGGAGCAGTGAGTGGTAAGGTGGGGGGATGCATAGGGGAACCTGCAAAATAGGTGGGAGCAGCTCCTCTGATTTTTTCAGGTTCCAAGATGCACCACCACAGACGTGGGGAGCAGCCCAGAGCAGCAACTTAAACAAAAATATATATTTTTTAACATTTTCCTCATGACACCTCCTGGCATGCTGAGGAAAATGTCCCCTAGTGCCACTAATTGGCATGCGTGTTAAGGGTTGCATATTTCTGTACTATGGATATTTCCCATGCTTCTGGTTGCCTCATGGGGCTGGGAGGGAATCCCTTCCCCCTGGTTTTCTGCTATGTGTTAGGTTTTTTGGGGTTTTTTTACGTATTCCTCAGAGGCATTGGATGTTGGCTGCAGCAAAGGCTGGGCAGGCCGGTGCCTCTGTTGGGACTTAATGCCAGAGGTTTCTGCCTAGAGGGTCTTGCCTCTTCACTCGGGGTCAGACTGATCACCATATTTGGGGTCTGGAAGGAATTTTAGCCCACGGTTTATGTTGGTATAGACTGAAGGGGTTTTTGCCTTTCTCTGTAGCAGGTGACATGGCCCTGTACCTGGGATCTCTTAAGCATATATTAACAACCTTTAATGGAAGCGGGCCGTTGGCTGCCATTGTCCCCTCCTTTACCCACGGCAGGTTAGGGTGTTATGCCTTATGTCATGTCAGGGTTGATGGTAGTTTTACTAAGAGGTTAGATTATGGATTTGTATGAGATGGTTTGGATAAGGATGATCGTGGGTCAGACAGGAGTTGGACTAGATCAGTGTTTCTCAGCCTGTGGGTTGTGACCCAAAAGTGGGTCACAAGAATATATGAAAGGGTTGCAAGCAAACTTTTAAAATGGTTCAACAAACTTTTAAAACATGGTTTCTCCTTCAAAGAAGAAAAATGTGGGAAATCATGGTTTTCCCTTGCAGGTTGGCAGAGCTCCAGCCTGCGAGGGGCTGCTTGGGCCCCCTCCATGCCTTCCCCCCCGCCCCACACACTGCGGGAGCTGGGGCTGGGTTAGGGGGTAATGGGTCGGGAGTGAGGGGCACTGGGTTAGGACTGGCCATTGATGTTTACAAATCGGTCCTGGTATAAAAAAGATTGAGAACCACTGGACTAGATGACCTCTGGAGGTCCCTTCCAGCCCCACTTCTCTGTGATTTGTATGATTGCTATGAATCCCTTTCACTTATTCAATGTCCCTTTTAAACCGTGGATGAGTCTTGAAGTTTGGCTGAGTTGCCTGTTGCTTGTGCGACTTTGTTTCTTCGTTATATTTATTATCGCTCCCCTTGAAAACCTGCCTGCAGCTTCCAATCAAGTCTGGGAGTCTGAGCTGTCAATCTTGGGGCAAGTTACACTTCCAGTGGCCTTAATGAGGTTCTGTATACACGCGGACCACAAGACTGAGCCTTAAGGGAGTCATAACGCAGCATGTCAGGGCAGAATAGCCTGGGTCCTTAAATAAACAAATGTAAAGCCTTTGAGTGACAGCTCCCTTTATGGCTGTATCATAGGCCTGCTCTTGTCGAATCAGCAGGTCAACGGTACTGCAACCAGCAGAGGAAAACACTTTTATAAAGTCATCTTTTAAGAAAAGATGAGATTTTTAAAGCCCTTTCAAAAGATGCACCAAGCTGGATGCTGATTGTCTAGGGAACTGCCGTCCTGTAAATCCATCTCTAAAAAACCTCGGCATACATGAGTGCGTTGCCTGTTATTTTCAGCATTCTTTTAGAAATGTGAAAAATTATCTTCCTCATTTGGCAAAGACTCATTGGTTTTCCCCTGTGCCTTTTTATAGGCTGTGTGCCCCAGCCAGCAAGAGGCAGGATCACCATCAGTCAAAAGGCTTCTAGCTATTGTAGGCGGGTGCTCAGTGCCTAGAGGGACTGGGCTCTCCATGTCTTTGTTGACTTGTGCTATGAAAGTAGCAGAGTAGGTGGGATCCCATATATGGGATAAAAATGACATGGCAGAACCGGTGCCAGCTCCCATAGCTTGGGTGTGACGAAGCATCCCAGATAATAACAACAGATCTGATTTCTAGCTTAGTCCTTTCTGCTAAGGAAAAGACCTGCTTTCTTTGGAAGAGAGATTAAACTTCAGGCTTTGGGACTTTAGGCAATCTGCAACTATTAGAGAATCAGGTGAAGTCTCCTGTGGAGGAGAGATTGTCCAACAGCTCCTTAGTCTGGACTTCATGCCTTTTTCAACACAATGGGGGCTGGGCACTGTTATGGAGGGACATTGGAGGAGATGGATCTTGGGTCCTTGGCCTGGCAGTTCCTATGCACTGAGTTTCCAGGTGAAAGAAGCACCCTTGACTGCCTTGCTGCTCTGGAAGAAGTAATAGACTCTAAAAAGAGCTTTATTCAAGGGGTCACTCGCAGAAAGGGTTGAATACTGAGGGATGACATATCTCTCCTTTTCCAGAGAAATGTACATGAACGTAATGCTTTGCCCCGAACCACAGTGATTTAAGGAGCTCCCTAGTAGTGAGCACAGGACTGTGAAGCTTGAGGAGTTCTGCTTGCATAGTATTTGGTGAGGCCTCGTGGTTTGTTTGGGTTCATGCAAACTTCAGCCCCCCAAATCAGGCTCCATAGTTCAGGCATGACTGAGTTTTTACATCAAGACAAAAGTACAAGGTTTCCCCCAACACACATGGCTCCCACTCCCAGGGGGCGTGCAGAAAAACAAAGCTTTCAGGGGAACTCGGCACTGCAGGAAAGCCTGAGCCCTAGCACATTTCTCCTGGTTTTGAGGGGGTATGGGGCTGACTGTGTGTTGAGTTTGAGACCCCTTGCCTTGGTTGGGACACTTCCCAGAATAGTAAGCAGCTACCTGTGTTCCTATGAGCACGTAAGGCACATCAGGCATGCAGTCTTTCAGTTCAGGCACCCACTCTTCTTGGACGTTGTGGTAAGAAGCAGGGTTCACCACTGAGAAGCAGATCAAGAATACATCTGTGTGGGGGTAGGACAGAGGCCTCAGTTGGTTGTAGTCCTCCTGTCAGAGAGCAAAATGAAGTGTATTATCACCATGTAGCATCTCTGCAAGCACATCATGAAGTGCCCAATACTGTCCCTCAGGCTAGGGACAGACGCTCAAAAAGCCTGAGCCTGAATTGACACTGTCTTTGCAGGTTAGTCTAACCTGGCTAGGCTGAATCAGTTTCAACAGTAGAGACATCCCAGAAATGCAGGCACATGCCTGCAGTGGCTCAGGCTAGAAGCTGGGGGGCACTAGAGCAGCCCTCCCTCCCCTTTCTCAGTACTGAGCTGAGGGGGCATGGCTAGGTCCCAGCAGGATGCTCTGAGTAGGGAGGGGTTCCCTTTTCTTCTGACCAGCCCAGCAGGGAATTGATAAAGAAGTGTTTATCACCCCCAACTCAGTGTTTATCAGCCCATTAAGAAAACAACAGAGGGACATTACCAGCTACCTGTTGATTCTGCCTTTGCCCCATCTGCCACATAATGAACTGTAGCCAGCATGTGGTCTGGTAGCTAATGCCGAGAGGCATCTGTGTAAGGCAGAGGGGATGGGGAGAGGAGTAAGGGGGAGCAGGGACAAGCCAGGCAGACGTCTGCAGTCTCTGCTGGAGCTGCAGCCAGGGAACAAAGGCGGGGGGCCAGGTCTGCTATGGAGCAGACAGCCCCGTCCAGCCCAGGGAGCATACCAGGATACTGGGGGAGTCTGGTTAACTTAAACCAGCAAGCAGTCTGGGACAGACATTGCATAAACTGGTTTGAGCCAAATCATTTAAGTCTGATACTACATTCAACCAGGTGTATCTCAAATTTGTTTGAGCCATTTTCAAACCAGTTTATGTGCACTGAACATTTGTTCTGTTACAGGTTTAAACCAGTTTCTGATCACCTAAACCTGTTTGTGTAATGTCTGTCCCTAGCTCCACTGTCTGTGGGGGCTGATAAATGTCAGGGAAAGAGCAGCTGCAGAGGGGCTGTAGGGTGATCATGTACCAAGGCCACCGATTAGGGCTTAATTCCACTCTGTCAACCTCCTCCTACCTGGACATTGAGGAGCAAGACTGAGCTGCTATTTTATTTCCCTAGCAATGGGCAGTGGGGTGATAACACGATAAACAAGTGCTGTCACCAGCAGCAATAGCAAGACAAGAAAAGTGCCGTTTCTATAAGACACAGCTCTTAGACTGTGCCTGCTGGCCTCAGCCTTTAGGCAATAGGCCATAATCCCAGGAATTTGACGGCCATTGCTCTTGCAGATAATTATTGTTGTTAGAGAACCAATATGTCATGTGCTTACAATACAGTACATATTATGGGCTGTATTCTTCTTAGCTGATATTATAGACATGACCCTGAACAACAAAAACAGGCCTTTGGGCTATGCAGTTGCATCATCATCTCACGCTAGATTTAGCAGCCTGTCAATCAAGATCAGAAATTCTCATCTTGGAAACCTAAAAGCAGCTAAGCAGCTCAAATCCAGTTATGATTCAAGGTGATTTAATGTCTCCACAGGCCTTTGTCTTGTGAGGGAAGATGTCTTCTTCCCAGGATAGCTGTGCAAACTCAGTCAGCTCAAAGCAGAGATGTACCACCTAGTCAGCTGTTTTGATATTAGTGAAGGAAAACGGAGTTTCTTTCCAATCTTGGGACTTGGAGTAGTTGCTGGGATTATGTGAAATGGATGAATGTGTTTGGAGTAGTACAATGAGGAGCTAGATTAGATCAAGTTGGGGATTTTCTGATGGCTACTCCCTTTTTTATTTTTGGTTAGAAAATATCAAATGGATGAAACCAAAACTTTTTGGAGGGAAACTTGCCAGTTTGGAGGAAACTTTTTTTTTTAGCAGAAGTTTCCCAGCTCCTGGATTGTGGGTAGTGGGAGCTGGAAGAGGGTGTGAGAGACCTCTATATCCTGTAGTCTGGGGTCGGGGAATCTGGGATCAAATCTCATATTGCTGCTTTCTTGGAAGGGAGCCAAAATAAATTGGAGATGGAGGAGGGTCAGTGTTCCCGCCCATGCAGGCAGGGCTTTGGTGGGGCCTACAACAATGATGCATGCAGGGCACCATATTGCTTTAGGTCATCCCTGACCTCATCCTTGTCCTACTTTGAATAAGCAAGTACAAAGAGTTCATTCTTATGCAGAGACCTGGGCATCGTTTTCCATAGGAATACACCGTGGTTCGACATTTTTTAAAACCAAACGTTACAATTTTTGTGTGCGTTTCAAAATAACAAAATTAGGTCAAATGAACTTTTTAGAAAAAGAAAGAGACCACCCCAAAGAGAAGCTCAATGTTTTGCTTCTGATGGAAAGAAGCATCCTGTTTGTCCCAAACTGATTTTTTTGATGATTTTTTTTTTTTTCACTTCAGAAGGAAAAATGTGGACACAAGTGTTTCAGGTCAGGTCAAAATGATTTTATTTTATTTATTTTCTTTCATCTTTATGTTGTTCCGTGGACCTGAAAACTACATTACTTGCCCAGCTCTGCTGAGAGTGGTTTATTTCAGGCTGTGCTACGGCAGGGCTACGAGATGCTGCAGGGATTCAGCAGGGCAGAGGCCAGCAGTGTTTTGGGCAGAGCAGGTGCTGTAATGGGGTCCCACTCTGAGAGCGGGCTGCTTGCAAACTGGCCTCCACTGCTATCGCCTCAGCCACAGCTGCAGTCACCACTCTCCCCCGCAGGAGTGGTGCCACATGGGCAAAGCCCACTGCTGCTGAAAAGCTGGAGAAATCCCTGGGCTTGGCTCTGGGGGCTGGATAAAATGGCTCTGTGGGCCAGATCCAGGCTGTGAGGCCATAAGCTGCCAATGCCTGAAGTATGGCATGAGTCATGACTCTACAGTCAATGTAGACAAGGATGAGTTGGGTTTACCATTGCATCAGCTGATGTGGCCAAGCCTTGGTATTGGTAGGGTTTAACCGTGACTGTATGACATGATACTCAGCAAGGAATTTCCTTGGCTCCTCTATCAATTTCTTGATTCTTCCCAATGTCTTTCCGAATTTTGCTTTGCCAATCCTAACCAGCTCTAGTTAGACTATGTCCTCCTTTAAAAACCTTCTTCTGCTGTTGGACAAGTTTCTCTCTGACTACTTTGCCGATGTTATTCATCAAGGTTGTTTCCCCCTTGGGGATGTATGCAAGTGTGTAATTGGGAAAATCTGGTAGAGTTTTGAGCCCCTCTCCCTCTCCAAATCAGCATAACTGGCTAATTTCATAGGCCCAGAAGAGCAGAACCTTAGGGAGCTTTTACATGTGCTCTGGGAGCAGTGGTGGGGGGCTCTGAGAGAGTCTTGTGTATCAGCGTCCCTGCCCTTCAAAATGGCATCCAGGGGACTGTCTTTAAAGCTCGTTGAATGAGCTTTAGTTAAAGTGCTCCTGCCGTCATTTTGAAGCATGGGGATGCTGATACATGAGACGTGAAGGCTGCTGGAGTGCAGTAATTATCACACGCCAGCAGACTTGGTTATTCAAGCCTACTCTGAGGCACTGTAATTACAGCATGTCAGAGCAGCCTCCTGGCTCGTGTTCAGGCATCCCCATAGACTAACTTGTTAATAGAGGCTTGACCTTTTGTAGGCTACAGCCAACTTAATCAAATGCGATTTTGTGCAGATTCAAAGCATCTGACAAAGTAGGCAGTGGCCAATGAAACCTCCTTCTCTCAATGAATTATCTGTAAGGTATCGCCCTGCCCTGCCTTCTGTCTAACTTGAGCCTAACACAGCTAACCACTTCTAACTAACTTCTTGTAGATGTTGTAGCAGGCATAGATTTGAAGAAGTATTTGAATGATGAGAAGGAAACGGTTTGGCATACTGGCTCATGGAAGAGGTGTAGCAAACAATGTGGAAGAAAATATAAAGAGATTGGTGGAATCATCTAAATGAGACAGCAAGACTGGTATTGATGTGGGAGCAGAGAGGGTGAAGTGATAAGAGATAAGGTAAGGAGAAGTGCATCTTTCAAGGCTTTGAAGATAACAAGACACATCCATTAGATGCAGTGAAGAGTCCAAAATGGAGCTGCATAATTGGATTAATGGAACAATTTGATAACGCTGAACGCTGAATTCTGAGTTGACTGGAGGGGTGTGATGCGGCTACTTGAAGTCTGGCCTTCTGCTGCCTGACGGCATGATATTATTTTACCCCATGAAGCCCCTTAGGTCCAGACCATCAAAGCTGATGCCTTTTCAAAGATTAAATCATGCAATGCACATGGGCTGGCACTTAGCGGCTGGCAAATCACTTCATACTTTCAGGTTAGTCTTGTAGTTACAAAGCAGATCCCATGTAAACCCACAAGGTGGCAGCAGACACTCGTTGTAGTGTCATAAGGGCTCTTGCAAATAAATTGCTAAATACATCTATTTAAAATATGGGGGACTTGCCTGTTTAGAAGGGTGGAAACTTAGCTTGTAATTTTAACAGCACACTAAAAGGCACGAACCTTTTGTATGTAGGTGACAGCTACTTTCAGAAGCGTTCATTTAATTTTTTTGCCGGCTGCTTTGCGGCTCTCAGAAAATTCCTTATCAGGACTGTTCTCATTTTGTGTTAGCAGCACAGGACGTGACATAGGCTATTAGTGCGGCGGGAGAGGAGAGCTATGCGCCACATCCGAGGATCAATACACATTGTCAGCATGTCAGTGTGGGCTGCCAATGAGGAGCACGGAAGTTAAGCTTGCACATCACGGGAAGAGTTAATTTGGGGCTTCCTTCTTAGCCTGTTCCCTCTGGGGACCATAGGAATGGCCAGACTAGATGAGGTTCACCTCCGGTCTCTGACAGCATCCCTACGAGGCACTTGCCTGGAACAGTTTAGTCACAGATGTTCCTGCCTCGAGCAGGGGGCTGGACTAGACTTTACGAGGTTCCTTCCAGCCCTGCCTGGATCCTACGAGTCTAAGAGCTGCTCCCGGAGAAGACGATACAATGAGCTATTATGGAATATCCTACACATGGGGTTAGTTTTGCATTCAAAGGAAGCCATTGAGGCTAAGAA